AAAGGTGAAAAGCTGACAGTGTAGAGTGTGGAGAGCAAACATACCAGTCATTTCCAGCAGTCTGTCAGCCAAGGTGCTTTTCCCGTGATCAATATGGGCGATGATGCAGAAGTTCCTGATTCTGTCCACAGGGAATTTGGACAGGTCCACAGCATCCTTAAAAGCAAAACAGCAGAAGCGTGCACTGAACAGCTGTATTATAGTACTCCACCTAAAGCCATGCTGCACACTTGGTTCAGTAACTGCAGCTTATGGTTCTCTGGGGGCGACAAACAGAGAGCTACTGGCTAATGGAGGCAACAACTTTATGACTGTGCAGCTCCTTGGCTGTACTCTCAGAGTCCTTTCCGGACTGTAACACCAGGGTACCTGGTTATAATTATTAATATTATCGTTATCAATGTTTATTGTATCTAGTTCACGCTGACAGTACCAGGTCCCAGCAGTTTATTACCTTGTCGGACTGGGTGCTTAGCCTCCTGGAGCTGCTGCATAGCACAGGCAGTGCTTTCATCCAGCGGTGTCTAAACACTGTGTAGGTCACATTAGAGTCTTGATTCTTCCTTCTGCACATTTTAAACTGCAGCACACGTCTAAACAGGGGCGTCCCACAGCACCGTTTCACCATAGAAAACGACATGTTTCGGTTCCGCTTGTAGCCTCACGCCATGAAGAAGACAGGGAGGAGAAATAATGATGATGTAATGTTCACGCGATACAATTAAATATACTAATTATATATATAAACGAAACTTTAAAAGAAAGAGCACTGTAATCATAATAACCCCGGCGCATTTGCTTTCAGAGGGCTGACATTTTGGGTGACAGGTCAGCGGCAAGGACTTCTGGGAAATGTTGTTCGTTTATCAAGAGAGGCGCAACACAACAAGAGGAAGCCTTACAATAACTTCCGTTTTCGTTTAGTCCAGCACAGAAAGCAAAAACATCTCTTTAATTCAAATGTGCACTCAGCAAAGGTTAGCGCACCTCCCTTCTAATCTGCCGAGATGACACTAATGTCGATAAAGCTAGCTCGACTGCTGCTGTTCATGTGAAAGGATGTAAAAAAAGAAGGAAAAAATATTATACAGCAATGTCCATAGTGATTATTGCCGCAATAATATTTTTACACTCACGTTTGAAACCATCGAAAGCGTCCAGGGGTCAACTGTCACCGCATAAAAATACCTTTGGAAATAACTGACAGGTGGAAGTCCCGCCCACTCAGGCTGTCAGATGAAGGATAAAAATGGATATCAGTTGCTATGACAACGAAACTGCCTCTCGCACAAGAATAGATTATGCCTCTCTTCTTTGTGCCAGCACAGATAATAAGCCTCTGCTAGTCCCCGCTTCTGCCTGTCATGCAATCATCTTTCCCCTTTTCAAAACGTGAGACTTTTAAACTTGGCGACGCGTTTGATTGAAAGCTGTTTTGCTTTCGATAATAAATGGCAGGCTTTTAAATGTAACGTGTTGCATTCATCCGTTTCAAAGACATCGCCTCATTCATCAAAGGCGCTTCTGCCTCGTTTCTCCCGCATAATAAAAAATGATGCCGGTCATAAATCTCTCAGAAACAGGACTGTCTGTTGGTATGCAAGACATCGTGCACGTGTAATTCTTTGCAGTGTTAAAACTTTAATATACTTTAATATAGTATAAAACTAGTGTAAAACCAGGGGTGCAGTCATGGGGGAGAAACATGGGGGTCAAAGGCACCACTCCTCTGGTCACCCAACACAAACAATGTTAATGGCTATTATACACTTGTTGCATCAAATAACCTATTTTATCCCACTTTTAGAACTTTTTTTGCAGAAGCATTTGAGCAGTGCTTAACTGCAGAAATACAACTGCAGCTACTATGTTTGCTCAGTTAAACAACAGAATTGGAACATGCTAAGAGATTAAAAAGAAACTTGACATGTTTATGACCTGTAATAATGTTTTTCGTGTGTTCTTAAGGTTACATTTGAAAAAGTAGAAAACCTCTCTGGGTACTGAACCCTTAGGATTCATCAGACAAGGATTTAGGAGCCTAATTTTATAAATAAAACTGAACTTAATTGAATTATGTTATCTGGCTGGATTTTTTTCACCAGAAAAATCCCAGTGAGCTTCCTGTATTCCAAGAAGACAAAAAGGAGGACCTTCATATGCACTGATTACTTTCCACTCATATGAATCTTTCAGCCTTGTTACACCATTTTTAGTTTTTTTGTGTAAAATGGATGTCGTGAAATAAAACGTCCGTCAGCACTGATTTCTGTCAGACCACCGCTCACCCACAGTGTGGATGGAAAAATGAAACTTCAGCGAGCTTTGCATTAACAGCTCAGCGCCACAGGGCTTTTTGTGGGTTTTGCCAACACGCTCATAATGATAGTTCCTGTCAGCCGAGGAGCACTGGTTGACAACAAATCCTCTTCTACTGAGGAAGGGCCGAGTTGCATCAATTGTGGTCCCAGGAGCCTACAGAGCTGTTGTGAACTGAGCTACAGTTGAGAGCTGTTCTCAAAATACTAATATAACACATTTCAGATTCATTTCAAATACCATCGAACTTGAATGGATTCAAGAAACTGTGCTTTAAAGGATACACCTAAATGATATCTTACAACCCCTGTTATTTGTTTATATAGCAATTCCCAATGCTGACATGTTAACTAGGTTCACTGAAAAGATATAGAAAGACAGAATCCGACTTTCTACTAGGTCTGAAATATGAAATAAACACTTTGTAAAATACATTGTTTCCCTATGAAAGCATGAAAAACGGTGACCTTGGAGATGGAGCCAATGTGGCAAGAAAACTGGTTCTTTGAATGAGAACCTGAGGCTGAGTCAGTCCCATTAGACTAGATGTTAGGAAGCCCTGTAACAGCAGAAATAAACATGTTTATAACCTGCTACAGAAAACCTGGTGAGTTTTAGTCTCTGGTCTATAATTTAATTTCCTGCTTCCCTTCACTTGTTTAAATTATATTAAGCATTGAAGTGGATTATAATGCGCAGGAATGCTCTGGCTGCCAGGTGGGTTACAGGCAGCTGTCTCTTAGGTGTAACCTCAGCAAATTCACGCTGAACTGATTCAGTGAACTGGATCTTTGAACCATATTTGTGGTGTCTGCCATTTAGAGCACTTTAATGCAATTATCTGACATAATTTGTTTGATTGTTGTACGGCTCATTGTACTAATAGAACATCAAGAGGTCTGTCTTCCAGTTTTGATGAGGGAAATTCTAGTGGGTTGAGTTTTTTTGGGTGATATACCACCAATAGCAGGTTTTTGTGTCTGTGTGATCCACCCATACATTCTTTGGATGCACCATGCTAACCAAGCCAGTTAATGTTAGCTAATAACTCCACCCTCATCTCCCAATCCAGTCTTTAAGTCTGACGTCATTAGCTGTTTCTGGGTCCAAACTCTGCTTCAGGTCCCAAAGTCAAACGAACACTGGCGCAACACACAGTTACAAACTGTCTAAATTCTTTCATCTTTAATAAAATGATCAGTGTGGCTGCTCTGCCTGGCGTAACAGTTAAATTTAAAATCTGGGAATCCATGAAAACAGAGTTTATTAAATTTAACAGAGTTAGAAGTTAGCAGGAAGTTAGCTCGCTAGTTTCCAACTAAACATAATATAGCATGTTCTGACTGAGAGATTTCTGAAAAGATTAAAATGTACAGCTCTGCTATCACTTCAGACATAAATGAAGACAGAAAACTAAACAGTAGTCACGTTTGAAGTTTTACTTTAGTTGGGCTAGCTGGTATATAATGATGTGCTACTTTGTGGCTAGCTATGCGGCTATGGTTAACATAATATAAACATTGAAGCTGGAGGATGAACGCTAACTTAAGGGTTCCCAGTGGTTAGGGACAACCATGCTGTAAACGGACCAAACTTCAGTCAGGAGAACACCTGAGATAATCCATCCACAATACGAGGTTAGTCATTAATATACTGCTGCATGGGCTGGGCTGTAGTTACATTGTAAGGTTTTAAAAACTGAGCTTTAAAATGAACAGCAGCAATAAAAACCAACAGAGGCTGACAGTGATCACTGACTGTTTTTAGGGGCTTGTTGAGATTAAATAGAACAAGATACAAAACATTAAAACATGTTAAAAACACAACAGCCATATTAAACGCAGAGTAGTTTGGACCCGGAAGCAGGGCTCTTACGTCATCACTTAAAGACTGGATAAACATCATTACTGATCCCGAAAGATCACAACTTTAATGGCCACAATGTAAAAATAGTCTTTAAAAAGTAGCGCTTTCTATGCAGAATTTTGGCCCATTCTTTTTCTCAATGCTGCTTTAGTTCATTGAGTTTCTCTAAAGGTCCCATCACTGGGTTTCACTCAGATGATGTTGCTTGGGATCATTTGCATGTTGTATGACCTTATTTGGGCAAAGCCCCTGCTGTGAGCCAGATGGCCTCATAGTCAACTCAATATACATCAACATTTTTGCTAATTGTGGTGCTGTGCATTACAGCCAAGCATCTCCACTTTTGTTTTTCCAAAGAAGATTGTTCATTGTGCATTCAATTAGCAGCACCTGGCTGCTACTTACTATCTTAAATCCTATAGAAGGAGTATACTTAGCTTTTTGCAGTACTGAATAGAGTCCTGTGAAAACTTTAACATGACTGTGCAGGCTCAGGAATTAACTATATATGGTGGTTCGAAACTTGTGAAGGCGTTTTACAATCCACTGTTAATTTTAGCCCTTTAAATAGCAAGTTTAAAACACACCAACACAGTGATTAAAAGTACCCAGAACTTATATAACAACACAAAAATAAATTGAACATTTGTACATCAGTAGACTTAAAGGTTGGAACTTAAAGGACTAACAAAAGTAGCCATCTTCAGTGTCTTTCTTCACTAAGCTCTTTACAGTTAAAAAGAAAAATAAGCAGCTACGCAGTTCATTCTCTTCATTTATGTTCTTGTCTCCAAAGTCAGGACAAAAATCAGATATAAAGAACTGAAATAATGTTTTATTAAAAAGTGCACTGAATCAAGCATCCGCCTGGTGAACAATCCCTTTATCTGGAATGTTTAAGACTCTGTCAGGATGTTGGAGAAATATGAATTATAGCCAAGGACATAATGAAAATAAATTATAAAAATCATAGATTTTGTCTCCATGCAAAGTTTGTTTCAACAAACAAATCAAGAGAAATTAAGTTAAAATACCCATGTGAAGAAAAAGTATATCACGTCATGAAAAAACTTACACAGAGTATCATGTATGACTGCTGATATGGGGCTGAACATGACTTTTCTCACACAATATACAGTAATCATGAGCAAAACAGGTTTAACAATACATTTTTCTCATTCTTGGAGTCCAGCATCCTCTTACTGTTTACAGATCAAAGGACATTTTTGCAGGATTTTAACCACCACCAAGATACTTCCCTAACTTTAAAGACTGAGTTACATGAACATTTGTATTATACAAGAGCAATAAACCCATGAAATTATTTAGATTTTACCCCTGATTATAAATAGATGTACTAAACTAAAAGTAAAGTAATAAAGGCGTGAATAAATACTCTGGTATTAGCTGGTTGGTGTTTCTGTGAAACAGTCTCCTGCCTATAACTGACATCTCATATATATATATTTAATGGAAGGACTCAGAAGAGACTAAAATAGAACAAAAAGGTGAGTAAACATCCAACTTACATTTTAAAAAATGAATGTTCATGTTGTTTAGTTTCTGCTGGTGTGTAAATACGCAAAGTGTTTGCTAGCATTATAGATTTATACTTCTGTGTTGAATCTCTGCAGAGCCTACAACTAAAGCATGATTTAGACTTCCGCGGGAAATCGACGTCCTAACTTCCGTAGTAACCGGAAACTCCTTTTATCCCTATTCCATATACCTTCCATGCCAGTCAAGTCATTGCGTCATGCAGCAACTTGATGTGTAGTTACGTACATGGGTTGCCGTGTAGGGTTAAAACGGGGTTCCAAATATGGCGTAACTTACAATGTTACGGAGCCTCACAAGGGACATTGGGGGGGGGGCAGGTGCAAATGAAGATGTACTTTTGCGACATCCCACAAAAGCTTTGCGAAATCCAGAAGAAGTTTTTGATTTACATCCATGCACTTCCAGACCAATATGGAGTTCTTGAAAAGAACCATAGCGACGGAAGACACACGCCCACGGGAGAGATTTATAGAGTTTTATTTTGAGTTTGGGCTAAACTGTGATGTCATTAAATCAGAGCTTTATTTAAGAGAGAGACATCTGAAGAGAGTCCTTACTGTAAGGGAAAACACTCGTGGCAAGGCGTGCCCTGACCTGGTGGCCTGGGTTACATTCATTAGCAACCACCTGCAGTGTTCTGGACAGCTTCACGGGTACTAATGGAAGTACGATAAATGCAGGGAAAAGTGTTTCTCAGGATCTTGCAAAACTTTTGTGGAAACTCTGGATTTCTCCAATGTTCCTTGCGGATCTGACGCAGAAGTACAATTCACATGTTTGTCATTGCCAGCATTTGCACTTGTGGCAAGGTGCCTGCGTTACTCTGCAGTTTTGCTGCCAGAACACTAGTTGGATGTTCTTGAGCCGATTAGAGTCGAAAAGAAGGCCAAGAATAGTTGTAGCAGGCTGCATTAACACAAGGAGCAGGCTGCAGGCTTAATGCAGGCTGCATTAACGTAATAGCAGTTCTAGGTAGGTCCACATCAGGCGCAAGTTCATAAAGAGTTTGCTGTTACAACATAACAACAGCGTATATTTAACACAGAAGCATAAATACCACTTAAAGCAACACTTCTGTCCGCTCTGTTTTATTTTTGTGGGGTCATCTGCGCACCCTGATGGCCAGAGAAAATAATTTTTATGGGTAATCTTGAATTCTTCTGTTCCCCTTTGGAGATCTAAAACTAATCCGTTTATCTGCTGTTGTTGTACATAAATTATTTTTTCTGGGGTATAGCTAGTTCTGAAGTTTTCCCATTTTTTGCACAAATATTACACATGCACAACCTTTGGGAAATATGTCTTTTTTTTATAGTGTATCGTTTGTTTCTTTGGCGATATTGTCCTGTAATCCCAAATGGTACATCGAGCTGGCAGAACCACACATTCTCATTTCATATCTTTTTCTTTTCACAGCCTTTCAGGATCTGGGAGTGTTTCGATAATTTTGGAGATTTTTTCTTTCTTTCTTTTTTTATTGAAGCCCCATACCTGTAGTCAAAGATAATAAAACAAGCTTTAAACTGTAACAGTACTATACAAGTGTGTTTTTGCACTGGCTTGGAAATAAAGAAAAAGAGTTGAAAGACTCTTATATGAAGAAAGAAATCAAACGATAGTCAGTCCCTTTCACTCGAGACAAAAATATATACTGTTATATCAAGAAAGTGGGCATTACAGCAGAATTCAACACACTGAGAAGTGATCCGAAATCAAACGTGATTCTTAGTGATTATGTGTTTACTCTTCATTGGATCTGTATGTACAGCAGCCACGTACTGAAACTGGAAACATACTTTGAAAGAAATATGCACTCTAATTAGAGTCATCGTACAATATATGTCACCATGAAACCATAAATATAAATATACATACACATTTACAAAAAGCCGGGCTCTTAAAAGTGCTGCAGACAGTGTAGAAAACAGGCGAAGATAGAGGGTCACACTGCAGTCCAGGGCTTCACTCTGCAAAGGTTTGTGTACATAGTTGCTGGAGGTATTTGATTCATTACTTAGACCCCAGACAAGAAGCTATCAAAACTGGTCTCTTAAACAGAGGGGACCATATTTGGTATAACGGGTTCTTTGTTTAAGTAGGTTGCCCAATAGACGAGGTTGAAGATGCCAAAGAGAACAGGAAACAAAATCCGTGACAACCTGTCAATTTTGCTGACACTGTTGAAGGTCTTCTTGCTTTCTTGGGCCTTGCCATCCGCTTTGGGCTTGTTTGGGTCCGTCGCTCCGCCTTTGGCGATGGTGGGAAGAGTACTGGAATCCTTGGTCACGTTAGGCGCGTAGTTGGCTACTGCTACAGCGTAGGCGTTATTCTTCTTGACGATGGAGGCTCTCTCTTTCTTCTGTTGAGAGACCAAAAGGATTACCTGGAAAGGCAGCTTTACTTGTCACCATCTGCCCCTGAATTTCAAAATGCATTTACATGAAGAGAGCGGAAAGACCCCGGTAATGGATCGAGCACATTTTGCAAAGTCAGAATGAAGACCACTTTTATTTTATCCAGGGATGTGCAGTTTGTGGCAGACTTATCCATGAACAGGAGGTCTAAATACTGTCTTCCATCACCCATCTTATATCCCACCTCGTGGTGAAAATTAAAACTTTATGAGGAGACAGGAAAATTACATTACAGTTGCAATTTCAAATGAATGATGAAAGATTTCTTTCACTTTTCTTCAAACCTAGCCCTCTGATAATCTGCATTCTCCCTTTCAGGTTAAAGGAAATGATGGTTCATTGCTTCATTGAGCAGCTCCAGAAAAAATTCCTTTTGTTGTCTTTTTATGCTACCCGTCATGCTATATAAGATGAGCCTGCACTTATATGAGCCAGCAACTTTAATTACCACTCCTGTGGTAATTAATTGTTTAACTAAGACAATCAAGTGCTTTTTATCTTTCTCGCTGTTTGCATGAAGGTATCATTTCTGTTGAGATTTTGTGCTTTCTCACTGACCAGAACACGTCCTCTCTGTTTTTGTTTTCTCATTACGTTGAACTGATTTTATGCAAGATTTGCTTTCATTTCCTAAAAAAAAATAAATGTCTGGATGTTTATCCAGGCATTTATTTTTAAATTTATGTTTATACCTAAATTTTATTTCTTGATTTTCCTTCTACCCCTGATATAATGTAATGTCGTACAACATGTTTGTACTCTTAGACAGATCAAGACTTTTCTGTGGTAGTTTGAGGGTTAAGCGCTCTGCTGAAGGGCAAGTCACTATGTAGTTAAATGAGACGAGTGGATTAATGGTACTTTATGTCACTGTCACCCTAGGCAGGGGTCGGCACCTCACTGTGGCTGCTGCAAAAAATAAATGAAACTTTATGAAAAAAAACCCTAATATTACATCTGGCATCTGTCTGTCCGTCCATGTGTGTGTGGCTCTTTTTCTCCTGTTTGGTAGGAGGGGCTAAAATGGCTCTTTAGATGTTGAAGATTGCCGACCCCTGCCCTAGGGAAAACAATGGTTGGAGTCAGCGGCACAAGCAAAATTACTGTGGCCATGTGCTATGATTTTGTGATCCTATTAGCTTTGAAATAGCTATTTCAAAGATGGGGACCAGGCCCGCAACCACTCACACTCAGTTCCCATCTTAAAAGACACTTTGGCACATCAAGACAGCAATAAGATGGAGTCAGTCTGCTATTAGTTTGCGACTTTCGGGGTTCAAGTTGACAGTTACATGCAATCTGTGATAAAAAATTAACATTAACTACTTACATTCATTAGTTACTTGGACTCTTGGACTCTAAAAGCAAGTAGCTGATGTGAATTTCAGTTTAATGTGAATTTCTATATATGTAGATGGTAACAGATACAAAGAAAGGCATTGCAGATGAGTTTTGCTAATTGGTGCAGACCAACTCAGATTGATTGCAACATTTTGTCAATCTGTCTGCAATTATAAATTAGACAGCAATTACTTACAAACCTGCACCAATCTGTCTGAGAGTGACTGCAGTCAGTCTGAATCAGATGGTGATTGGCTGGAGACACATTGCCTCTCACCAGATGACCCACACAATCAAAAATGGTTGCCCAAAGGTCGAAGGTGTTGCACATTCAACCTCTGGGGAATTGTAGTGAGGACTGCCCTAATGTATGGTTTGAAGACAGTGGCACTGACAAAAAGATGGGGGCCAAAATGCAGGCGACAGAGTTGAAGATATTGAAGATCCTGGGAGCGACCAGCATGGACACGATGAGAAATGAGCACAACAGCTCAGGCTGCAAGGAAGAAGTTCATGGAGAGCAAGCAGAGGGTTGGTGTGACAGTGGATGGACAGAGGATGTGAGGGATAGAGTGAGATGGAAGCAGATGATCCGCTGAACCCTGAAGGAAGCAGCCGAAAGAAAAAGAAAACACACAGACCCATCTTCTCATGACTAATGGAGCCTGTACTCGACAGACTGAATTTTAAAGAATCAGACACACTGCTCAGAATACTAACCAGCTATTTTTGCCTATTCCTATTATTTCTGTGGAGGTAAGCCACATTTGTCACATCCCAACATTTACAAATTTAAATCCCTTATCACTTTATGTTCTTAAAACTTTTCTGCCCCCTGTTGATATAGGGATTGTAATTTGAATGTATGGTTTTGCTCGACTAAATGCTATAAAGGGTAAAAAAAGGATTTTGTGGAATGACTGGGGGCTTCATGTTGGACCAAAGTGTACGTGAAAGGGCTCTCTGTGATTAAAGCGTGTCAAAAGAATTACACATTATCTGACCATTGATGGGATTCACCTTTCCTAGGCTGAGTTTGGCACCTATTAGCACCAGGGGGGATGAACACCTGATTGCACTTATGTTCTTTATCGATATGCTGAGCCTCAGAGTGAGTGATTTTATTATTAGTTCTCAGTAGCTGCAGCATTCTGGCTCCACTCTTGGAAGGTTAAAGAGGCCATTACTGCTGTTTCCCTTTGCTTCCAACAAATGCCTTCAAAGCTCTCTGAGCTCTCTGAGCACTGCCTCCTTCAGCATACAGTACAATGCTAATGAATTCTCTTTGAAGGCGGAGCCTGTCAGAGGATGCGCTTTCTTCTTCATTACCTTGTCAGTCACCACGCTTTTTCCATCCCAAGCCCAGCCACGCTTTGTGAAGTAATTGACAGTAGCAAATTCAATCAAAGCGGAGAAGACGAAGGCGTAGCACACGGCGATGAACCAGTCCATGGCAGTGGCGTAGGCGACCTTAGGCAGGGAGTTCCTTGCGCTGATACTCAAAGTTGTCATTGTGAGAACAGTAGTTACACCTGGAAACACACACAAGCAGATAGCCAATAATATGAGCTCTGGCAATGTTTATTAAGGTTTTTTCTACTGTAATACACATTCTGCTACACAATACTTTAATGAAGCAGGGGAACAAAGTGAGGCATATGAAAAGAAAATCATTTTATTTTTTCTTATTTCGTATAACTTTTAATATTTCTTCTGGAGCTCAGGAGATTTGGTGTTTTTATTTCTTTCTGTGAGCTAACCAGTGATGAGTCACTAATATTACTTTCACTTGGCTTACAGTCAGGTCAAGCAGTAGCGTAGCCAACTGGATTTAAAAGCAGTGGGGCCTGTAAGAACTGCCCCCACCCCCTTCTCATTATTCCATTTTCTTTTGCACAGAATTTCCCATTAACTTCCAACAATTCCCTATATTCAGTGTTAATTTTTGACAAAACTAGGGGAAGGTCTTACTGCCATTGCAGCACATGCATAAAACCCAGCATCTACAACAGTCAGCTCAAATTACACTGGTGCTAACAATCATCATGTATGTCATATATGCTTACCAAACACAGTCCTAGCTGGCACTGATTCTCTATTCAGCCAGAAAGACACTTGGGAAAGGATGACTGTCATGATGCATGGGAGGTAAGTCTGGATAACAAAGTAGCCAATCTTCCTCTTCAGATGAAATTCAGCCGTCATCACTGTATATTCACCTGGAGACGAGAATCAGGTTTAATTACATGATGCAAAGAATTCAGCTTCTTGATTCACTCTGATTTCTTGTCATCAAACATATACTCTTACTGGCCACTTTCTAAGTACATCGTTTCAACTCCTCATTCAACTTGGTGCATTTAGGTATCTAGACTTAGTCAAGATGACTTGCTGATCATCAGAATGGGGAAGAAAGGTAAGTTAAGTGACTTTCATCTATTACTTTGGTAACTGGGTTATTATTCATAATGAAAACACTTTTTTTTCATCTATATATCTATCAGTGTAAAAATAGTAAAACTGGAGTGAGGGCCATGATGAATGAGTGTGTCAAGTGTTTTAACCCACACAAGTAGAAACAATATCTTCTTACTCCAATTTAGCTATGCAAGTGCAAACCCACGCCTTCCTGTGCCTGTATATTTATGCAATTCACATTGTTAAGATATTATATTTATATCTCAAGCTTTAAGACAACAAAGCAGTATTAAACATAGATTAACTGTCAGCAGTGCACAGTGGATATACAGTAATAATCCATCAACACATGCAAAAGTAGGCAGTAAGAGTTACCGGCCACCAAGCAAAGCCTAATAGCTGACAAGGCGGTGAAACCGTGCCAGTGCTGCAGTATCAGGCAGTCTTTTCAAACAGAAGATATCTCAAAGAGAAGCCAAGATTAGACATGGAAAGAAAAAGATGTGTTACCAATGGCAACAGAACAGAGAAACATAGCTCATTTGCTATGATTTTGAAATGAAGGCCTTGATATACGCTGCCACTTGGCAAGAGGAAAGTCTTTTTCAGCAGTGGGAAGGAGGGGGTAGAAGGGATATCAATTCCACAGAATAATCCCCAAAGATTTTTTTTTGTAATATTCCCTCTCTTTCTTTAATAGCACTGTAGATGTGCTGCTTGTATTTCTAGCAGTTACGTGAAGACTTATTCTGTCTTTGACACAGGCATACGTGCTAGCACAGGAATTTGGAGGAATCGAGTGCACTGTCAGTACTCTCTATGGAGCACTGTATCTTCTGTAATTTAATTTGCATGCCGGTCCGGTGCTTGTGTTGTGGAATGGGGGAAGGGGATGTACAAGCAAGGATATGGATGCTGATAAGTCTTCTCTGGAAAAGCTTGGGATCACTTCACTTAGAGGGAAGACAATTATAGCATGAAGATAGTAATCCTGTCATGTTCAATTCAATTCAATTTAATTTTATTTATATAGTGCCAAATCACAACAAAAGTCGCCTCAAGGCGCTTTATATTGTACAGTAGATCGCACAATAATAAATACAGAGAAAAACCCAACAATCATATGACCCCCTATGAGCAAGCACTTTGGCGACAGTGGGAAGGAAAAACTCCCTTTTAACAGGAAGAAACCTCCGGCAGAACCAGGCTCAGGGAGGGGCGTGGCCATCTGCTGCGACTAGTTGGGGTGAAAGAAGGAAAACAGGATAAAAGACATGCTGTGGAAGAGAGACAGAGATTAATAACAGATATGATTCAATGCAGAGAGGTCTATTAACACATAGTGAGTGAGAAAGGTGACTGGAAAGGAAAAACTCAATGCATCATGGGAATCCCCGGCAGCCTATGTCTATTGCAGCATAACTAAGGGAGTATTCAGGGTCACCTGGTCCAGCCCTAACTATATGCTTTAGCAAAAAGGAAAGTTTTAAGCCTAATCTTGAAAGTAGAGATAGTGTCTGTCTCCCGAATCCAAACTGGAAGCTGGTTCCACAGAAGAGGGGCCTGAAAACTGAAGGCTCTCCCTCCCATTCTACTTTTAAATACTCTAAGGACAGCAAGTAGGCCTGCAGAGCGAGAGCGAAGTGCTCTAATAGGGTGATATGGTACTACAAGGTCATTAAGATAAGATGGGGCCTGATTATTTAAGACCTTGTATGTGAGGAGCAGGATTTTGAATTCAATTCTGGATTTAACAGGAAGCCAATGAAGGGAAGCCAAAACAGGAGAAATATGCTCTCTCTTTCTAGTCCCAGCAGCATTTTGGATTAACTGAAGGCTTTTCAGCGAGTTTCAGCGAGTTTTTAGGACATCCTGATAATAATGAATTGCAGTCGTCCAGCCTGGAAGTAATAAATGCATGAACTAGTTTTTCAGCGTCACTCTGAGACAGGATATTTCTAATTTTAGAGATGTTGCGCAAATGGAAGAACGCAGTCTTACATATTTGTTTAATATGTGCATTGAAGGACATGTCCTGGTCAAAAATGACTCCAAGGTTACTCAAAGCGTTACTGGAGGCCAAGGTAATGCCATCCAGAGTAAGAATCTGGTTAGATACCATATTTCTAAGATTTTCAGGGCCGAGTACAATAACCTCAGTTTTATCTGAATTAAGAAGCAGAAAGTTAGCGGCCATCCAGGTCTTTATGTCCTTAAGACATTCCTGCAGTTTAACTAATTGGTGTGTGTTACCTGGCTTCATGGATAGATAGAGCTGCGTGTCATCTGCATAACAGTGAAAATTTATGCTGTCTTCTAATGATGCTGCCTAAGGGAAGCATGTATAATGTAAACAGAATTGGTCCTAGCACTGAACCCTGTGGAACACCATAATTGACCTTAGTGTGTGAAGAGGACCCTCCATTTACATGTACAAATTGGAGTCTATTAGATAGATATGATACAAACCACTGCAGCGCAGTACCTGTAATACCTAGAGCATGTTCTAATCGCTCTAATAGGACATTATGGTCAACAGTATCGAATGCTGCACTAAGGTCTAGCAGGACAAGCACAGAGATGAGTCCACTGTCAGAGGCCATAAGAAGATCATTTGTAACCTTCACTAAAGCTGGACTTCTTTGAGCAGTTTTGTAGGAATGGGGTCTAAAAGACACGTTGATGGTTTGGAGGAATTAATTATTGAAGTTAACTCAGAAAGATCAATTGGAGAAAAAGAGTCTAACTTAACATCAATGGCACTAAGAGTAGCTGTAGATAATATTACATCTGTGGGATGATTATTGGTAATTTTTTCTCTAATGATAAAAATGTTATTTGTGAAGAAGTTCATGAAGTCATTACTAGTTAACGTTAAAGGGATTGTTGGCTCAAAAGAGCTCTGACTTTTTGTCAGCCTGGCTACAGTGCTGAAGAGAAACCTGGGGTTGTTCTTATTTCCTTCAATCAGTGACGAATAGTAAGATGTTCTGGCTTTACGGAGGGCTTTCTTATAAGGCAGCAAACTATTTCTCCAGGCTAAATGATGATCCTCTAAATTTGTGACACGCCATTTCCTCTCCAGCTCCAGTTTTCTGCTTTAGGGTACATGTTTGAGAATTATACCATGGAGTCAGGTACTTCTGATTAGAGACCTTAGTTTTCACAGGAGCTACAGTATCCAGAGTTGTACATAGTGAGGAGGTAAAATTATTAACAAGATAATCGACCTCTGTTGGGGTAGCGTTCAGATACCTGCTCCCTTCTATGTTGGTACAGGGCATTGAAGATGATAACAGTGGGTGGATTATATTCTTAAACTTAGTTACAGCGCTTTCAGAAAGACATCTACTGTAATAAAGTCTACTCTCCACTGCTGTGTAATCAATTATTGTAAATGTAAATGTTATCAGGAAATGATCAGACAGCAGAGGGTTTTCAGGAAACACTGTGAAATGTTCAGTTTCTACGCCATATGTTAAAACAAGATCTAGAGTGTGATTAAAGTGGTGGGTGGGTTCTTTTACATTTTGAGAGAAGCCAATTGAGTCTAATAACAGATTAAATGCCATGTTGAGGCTGTCATTTTTAGCATCTACATGAATGTTAAAATCATCCACAATAATTATTTTATCTGAGCTGAGCACTAAATCAGATAAAAACTGAGAAATCAGACAGAAACTCTGTGTAAGGCCAGGTAGACGATAGATGATAACAAGCAAGACTGGTTTCTGAGTTTTACAGCTGGGTTGGACAAGGCTAAGCATCAGGCTTTCAAATGAATTAAAAGTCTGTCTTGGTCTTTCGTTAATTAATAGACTGGTGTGAAAAATTGCTGCCACACCGCCCCCTCGGCCTGTGCTTCGAGATTTCTGGTAGTTAGAATGACTCGGGGGTGTTGATTCATTTAAACTAACATACTCATCCTGCTGCAACCAGGTTTCTGTACGGCAGAGTAAATCGATTTGTTGATCAATTATTAAGTCATGTACTAACAGAGACTTGGAGGAGAGAAACCTAATATTTAATAATCCACATTTCACTGTTTTACTCTTTGGTTCAGATGTGGATACTGTATTGTTCTTTCTTTGTAATTTTTTATGTTTAAGTTGTTTATTGCTGGTTTTTAGTTTGTTTTTTGTCTTTTTGGGAGCTGACACGGTCTCAAGGGAGGTGGGTTTTTGGGGGGGTAGCAGACGTGAATTATGATCTTACTGTATTTACGTTTACCCTTAGCCAGCAGTTTTAAATTTCCTTCAATGTCGCCTGCTCTGGCCCCTGGAAGACAATTGATTATGGTTGCCGGTGTCTCTAGCTTCACATGTCTGAGAACAGAATCACCAATTATCAGAGTTTGACCCCCGGCGGGTGTGTCGCAGAGTGGGGAAAAACGGTTAGACACACGAACAGGTTGGTGGTGTACCTGGGGCTTCTGTTTTAGACTATGCTTCCTCCTCACCGTCACCCAGCCGCCCTCTTTCCCCAGCTGCTTGGGGTCTGCCGGGGAACAGCTAGCTACGCTATCTTCGGCTGCACCAGCTGCAGGGGCCTGGCTAGCTACGGGTGAATGAAGGGTGCGAAGCCGAGTCTCCAATTCAGTAATCCTGGCCTCCAGAGCTACATATATGCTACATTTGTTACAGATATCATTACTGCTAAAGGAGGCCGAGGAGTAACTAAACATCTGACACAATGAGCAGGAAAGTGCAGGAGGGACAGGTGAAGTAGCCATGGTGCTAACGAGTCGGCTATGAGCTAAGCTAAGCTAGCAAAACAGTACAGAGACAGTGAGTGAATACTT